TCAACCTTGTTAAATCCAGCGTATGAAAGGATATGGAACTCGACCCTGTTATTTGCTGCTAAGATTACCTTATTGAATTTATCAATTAGGTGTTGATCAAAGGAGCCTTGGTGGTTTAACGCTTGGTCAAGCGTATCGTGCCAATCGAGACAAATTTTGATATTGCCAGGCACTGAATCTACAGGGGCAGAGTAGGGAGCGTGCGAACCCGAAGGTGCACTTGGAGCTCCGCTTGACTCTTCACCCCGCTGCGCCACAGGTGCGGCAGCAGCCCCTTCTGCCTGTCCAGCAGTTGCTTTTGGCTCTGTTGGATCTGTTCCCAAGAATGCCTTTCCACTAGAAGCCTGCTCCTTCAAGTACCCAGGTGGCGCCTTATAGGGAAGGTGGCCAGGAGGTGCTTTAAAAGGGAGTTTTGGCTTATCTTGTGGTGGTGGAGCTAGCCTAGCTTTTGGCGGAGGAGCTCCTGGTCGAACACCCGGTGGGGGAGCCTTATTTGTTTTGGCCTTTGCAACAGTGACCTGTGGCGTGCTGGGAGCAACAGCCTCCCTAGCAATCCGTTTGGTGGTTGCTGATGACAATGGCTGAGAACTTGCCCTCTTCGGTGGAGGGGGTCTCAATGGCTCCTTACCACTTTTATTGGGGGATCTACCTCTTAGGTTAACAGGTGATGAGCTATGCTGAACTGGTTCAGAGGGTATAGATGTTAGATTTCTTGGGGATCTAGACCTGTCAACGGCACCTGTCGCGCGGGATTCCGCAGCGACCCCACAGGCAGCAGACTTTGGGGATTCTGCCGCAGCGCCCTCTTGTTTTCTCCACGGATGCACAATGCCCTGTGGGAACTTTGGTGAGGACTCTGAGGTGTCTTTTGGCGACGATGCTGCTGATTTTGGGTCTTTATAATCCCTAGAGGTTATTTTGATAGTTACCTTTTGCCTCTTTGGGGGTGGCACTTTAGGTGGTCGCGATTCAAAAGTTACTGGGTCGGCTTCAATGGGCTCAGCACTAGCCGCTGCAATGAAATTCCTACCAGTCTCTTGAAATCTTTGTGATGCCAGTGCAGGGTCTTCTGTGCCTTCCTCCTCGGTGTCAGGATCACGTGTGGTCAAATTTACAATGTCCGAAGACTGCAAGTTTGGGGTGACCAACACGACCCGACGAGAGCTCAAGGATGGATTCTGCCAGGCGGCGTCCTCCAGTTCGTAAGGATCAATGCCCTCAACTTCTTGAGTCTCAGTTCCAGGAACTACCACAGGATGAGCAACTGGACGCTCTGCAACTGTCGCGACCGAAGGTCCGGCGATCCGCACCCAAGTTCCTGCTGAATCTAGGCGTGTGTCAGGATAACCAGCAGCACGGAGTTCTCGAGCAAGCTCAATCTGCTCCCTGGCTTCTCTAGACAAAAGATTAACAGGCAAAGGTGGGATGGACCTATTTCTTTTGGTGTGCCTCTCCCTTGGAGACGCAGTTTTGGCAACAGGTGCTGGCTCCTCCTCACTTTCAACCTCAAAACTCTCCTCCTCTTCCTCCTGATTCCCTACCACTGTCTCGCGCCCCTTGGCAAAAGCCGGAGCTCGGGCAGCGAGCTCTTCTGGTGTTGGCGGCGGATGTTGTGGCGGCGGTGGAATATTAGAAGGGACTACAGGTGGTGGTGATGATGGGGGTGATGGGAGCTTAGCTTTAGACAAAGGGTTTACAACAGCTGGACTATTGGGAATCTTAGGGACTACTTCAATTATTTGGGTAGTATCTAAAACCTTTTGCGCAGTGGCTGATGTGTCGTGTTCTTTGGAAACAACGACTCCTTTGGGATTATTAGATTCTGGCAAGGGATTTACAACAGGATCAGCTTTTGGAGCTTCAGGCACGGCTGCACTTGATGGAGCACTACCGGATGCTTTGGCTGCAATCACTGTTGCGCCGCGTTCTTTGGGAACAGCGACCCCTTGCTGATGTTTTGGCGGCTGCAAAGGCTTCGCAACAGGTTCAACCTTAGGAACTTTTGGAGTGGCTACACCTAATGGAGCACTACTGGAACCTTCGGATGCGATGGCTGTTGCGTCGCGTCCTCTCGGAACAGCGACCCCTTGCGGCTGCTTTGGTGGTGGTGGCGAGGGCTTTGACACAACAGGTTTATCTTTGGGGACTTTTGGGGCTGCTACAGTTGTTGGAGCACTACCAGAACCCTCAGATGAAACTACTGCTGCGTCGCGCTCTTTGGGAGCAACGACCCCTCGCGATTGCTTTGGCAACGGGCGGACGGATGATGAAGTGTGGACACTGCTAAACTCGGCTTGCTGTACAACTTGATCCGCAGCACGCAAAGTTGGTTGCCAGCCAGAGGCTGGTGCCTTCGGCTGCTGTGCCTTTGGCGATGCAGCTTTTGGCGGCTCTTTGGGCTCTGGCGGTCGTGTAGCTGCCGCGCCACCAGCCGAAGCCGGGGCAGCGGCCCGAGCTTTGGGCTTCGAAGGGGCGTTTGGGCCTACGTACCTATTATAGTAATCCCAGCTTTCTTGAGGAGGGAATTCACTACCCAAAATGTTCAAGTTAATGATACGCTTTGGGGGTAGTACGCCTTTTTCAACTGCGTTACGGCCGTGTCCAATACCACGTCTCCTGTCCAGGCCGTTTGCAAGGGCCCAATTTTCGTATTCAGGCCACAAGTTAAATGTAAGAACTAAACACTGGGTTACGGTCAGATAATCTGCTATGGCTTGATGATTAGCGACTTGCCACTTTTGGTCAGTGTCAACACCGTCTAAAAGATATCGGCCTAGCCAGAAACCACGACCTGACCTCCCACCTGTATTTTGATACAACCAATCCCTAAAAGTATCTAGGTCACTAAACCAAGCCCGGGTGGCTTCCTGGTTTCGTGTGGTCTGCCCACCGCGTGAACTCCTCTGTCGAGTGCGTTGTCTTGGACCTGCAGATGGAGCGGAGGGAGAGTGACCAGTACGGATGGGCTCAACACCAGGCTCAACTAAGTTGGGACTAGTGGGTGGTGCAACAAAAACAGATGTGTCTAGTTGGGTATTGGGTGTCGCGACAACGGAAGTGTCGGCGACCCCAGGTTCTGTGGATTCAGCTTTTGGATTAGAAACTTCAGGGGCTCCTAAGGGGGCTGAGTCTACACTTACACCTGGGTTACCTGTCGTGACAACGGTTGTGTCAACGACCTCAGGCTTAGCGGATGCACAGGCTGGTTCGGATGCTTCTTGGGATCCTACTGCAACTGGCTCTACACTATGACCTGAGTTTTGGATCTCAGGTTGGACGGATGCTGCAATGTCAGAAGCGTCAGCTTCAGGACTCTTGGGGTCAACTTCAGCTTTGACAACGGGTGCAACAATTGCGTCTTCACCTAAGTTGGTTGTTGTAGTACCTTCAGTTTGATGGGCAGCTTCAATGACGGCTTCAGTAGAGGCTGGACCAAGTGTCTGTTGATCTTCTTCCTTTTTGACAAGCTCCAGACTGTTATTGGCGCCTTCCAATCCAGAAACTTCGGAAAAAGTTATTTCACCAGAAACCTTGTCCGTCGCGGTATTGTCACCAGCGACCTCTACCGAAAAATTGTCGGCTGCTTCAATTTGCGCTTGTTCTGACAGGATCGACGGAAATGCAAAACTGTTCTGACCTTCTTCCTCCACTGGACCTGAGTCTGTAAAGGCAGCCTCTGCAAGGACTCCTTCGGGGATGTTCAATGCTGTGGCAGGGTCTGAAACGTGGCTCGCAAAATCCGTCGCGACGTTTTCGTCGGCGACCCCGTCAGGCAAGAAAAATGTTGAAGGCACAGCACCCGAGCTTGATGTCTCCTGATGTAGCTCTTCCTTCACGTCTGTCAGATGTCCTTGGGCTCGATCTGCAGAAGTGGGCGCCTCACCAAAAGACAGCACGGGCGACAGAATATCCTCAGATAGATCCGCCCAGTTTCGGGAGGCCGCGGCGCCCGGTTCAGCAGTTGGTGGATTAAACTTCTCAACACCTTCTGCTTCCCCTAGAGCGTTGGCTCCTTCCACTGGAGTTTCCGGTGTCGCGCTGTAATCAGCAGCGACCCTTTCGGAGCTATCTGAGGGCATGCACGGTCAATGACGGAAGTGCGGGAAAAATAAAGGGGCCTAAACCAGAAGTTATCGAAGGATTAGACTTCCCCAAAAAGCACCTACGGCTGATAACCAATGAAAACAGGGGACCGAACAAGGGAACCAACCACGGTATCCTTCGATAACCCCATTAAACAAACCAAGCACCCGACCTTTTTGGGCACTTGAGCCATAACATCCATAGCGTACTAAGTGAACCCTGACCCAGGTGGTTGTTAGGGTGAGGGAAGTACCTATGTCTAATTACGGCTACTCTACTTACCTAACGCTTCTAGGTAAGTAGTGATATACTGTACATTGAGTATAATGAATTGGGACTAGAAACTCATAGCTACGCTATTTACACTACGCTATACCTACCTGCTATGCTACATGTAGTGGGGGCTCAGGGGTCGATATATTTCAACTACATGTGGGTCAAATGTTTCTAAATGGGTGATACTTGTGAAATATGCCTGGAAATGATGCAACAAAAAATGCAACCCATGGTATATTTACCGACTAAAAACTGGCCATTTTAAGGGGGTTTTATGTCTGTGATCCATGTATGATATATTACCTACATTTGGATACATTTAGGCCATTTCAAGATTAAGTGTTGGTAAATATTCCACTGCATCCAGCAGATTGAAAATCCAGCCACTTTTTGAAGGAACTGACCATGCATCGGAAAGCACCGAAGTATCGGAAACTAAGCGATCACATCAAAAAATCTAACTCAGACACCAAAAACAATTGACACCAACCACTAAATCGGAAACCAAACCACCCAAACCCATCCAAACCATCTAAAGCCATCTTAAGTCTCAAACACGATTTGTGGTCAATGCAGACTTCTCAATGTCCGCGGAAACGTTTCACGACCCGCCCAGCACCCCTTCGTTGGGAGCCCCAAACGAGCGCGAAGTGTGCAAATTTGGCCTAGAAAACAACGATCCATGGTCATCCATCCCATCCCATGGGAATCCAAGCACAATATGTGTATGTATATATATATATACTATTTATATTATGTTGTGTGTATATATATATTATGTTATAGATATATATATATATGTATTGTCCATTTAAAATGGTCTGATGACCATCTCCTTCATTGGAAAATAAACCATGTTTTGACAGGAAGCGTGCGGACTCAACCACTGTCTCATACTCCATGCATAGGTGGCGGAGGTATGAGGTTGAAACCTGCAAAGATACTGCACACAGCAGTCAATCAAACTAAATTAAGAAATCAAATTCTGAATTAATTCCCACGTCTCTTTCTTTTCATGAATGCCATATATTTCTGAAATGTATGAACTTGTTGTTTACGCTTTTACACAATATGTTTGAAGAATTAGAATTGTGACACAACAAACTTATTGAAAGCACCACCAAATCAAAATAGATGTGAGCAAAATCCCAAAAAGAATGGTGTAAGTGTTTCACCTTTTCTGCATCTTTAGGTCTTACATGGTCTAGATAGACTCACAAAATTCATCCTCAGGGACATTGATCCATGGGACACACCTGAAGAGGTCCACCAAGGTCCACCAAGGTCCACACATACTGGAGCTGCTGGAAGGATTGCGCAACATGGGATGCCTTTGAGCCTCCCCAAGCCATGGATCAACTCGCCATGGATCACGGTTCAGAAAGATAGATGGATTATGTTGGATTGGACCATTTATGGATGAAATATGATGAAATCCATGTCAACCAGCCTTTTTTCCAAGTCAGATGCTTCCCCGTTCGCCTCGAACCGCGCCTCGAAGGTGGGCACCGGCTGCGGTCGTGCGTTGCCATCCAGCATGGGATACTTGGGATTCAGGGGATTGACACCTCAGGCGACCCAGCTGACCCAGCTGACCCAGCTGACCCAGGGCGCCTGGGATGGGATCATCTTTCACCAAGGGGATGGCACAAACATGCTGAAAATGAGCAGCTCTGAAAGAGAATATGAATGGGATGAACATCCGTTTTGAAGGATGACCATTTGACCATTCAAGACCCATAGTTCACTTAGAGCAGTGCCCAAAAAAGGAAGATTTTCCTGACGAAGAGTTGATTTTTACATTATAGATACTGAGGAATCCACCAGGAATGGCAGTGTGTTTCTAGCTAGCAGTTCAAAAACAGCTGGATATGTTCGTCTTTCTTATCTTGGGGATGTTCCCCACGTTTCTCCTTTGGTAGAGTCTGGTAGATGTTCTTCATAGATTCCCCAGGGCTCCGTGCGCCGTCGCGAACCCTCAATGCCCTTCTTCAAGCTTCCCACCTCGGTGTGATGAATCCGCCGGCTGCCGGCGTTGCCTCAGGCTATGACTAACATAGCCATGGTATAGTATTACCTGGTATAGATGGTCCATAGAAATAGATGGTTTACCTATGAAAAAATTATGAATCACCAAAGGGTAATAATTATGAATTCTATCATTATGATAGTACAATAATAAGGTCACGGTTGTATTCGGAAATTTATGTTGTTGAAATAGTAATAATGATTAATAGAATAATGATTAATAATTCTATCAACTAGCTGTTGCAGCTTTCCATCTCAGAATGTGTCTGAAAATGATGAGCGACCAATGGATTTGGGGCGAGACCAACCTCTCCTGGTCCCCGCCTGCGCTCCAGGAATGTCGTGAGGATCGTGGAAGGACATCAAGGGCCTCGTGACGGCGAAAAAGGCAATCTGCTGGGGAAGAACTCTCTCTTAGGATGGCTGAGTCATAGTGTCATATGTGCTAGGGCCAAAACCTATGTAGTATATTTTTTGTCTTGGCGATCCTTGCAATGGATATATAAAAATAAATCTGCAAGTAATGGATTCATGATCCTCCTCGAATAAGGAGACATAATCCATCTTTTGACCAACAACACATATCAAAATATATCATATCACCAGAACGCACGGAAATCCCACAGAAAATGGTGGGGGATCAGAGTTTCTCCACAGATCAGAGCGTGACCCCAGATCCGAAATGTCAATCCATTTTCTGGTGAATAAACACCAGGAAATTCCCAGGGATGATGAATGATCCCCTTTTATCTTTTGGTTGTATAACCCCCAGCAACCAACCTGTCACCTTCACTTCCCGACTCCACACCTGATCTCCGGTGGGTCATAGATGTTGGTGGGCACTCCACCGACCTCAGAATCCCGGTAGGTGGTAAACAAGTAGTAAGTGTCAAACATACAGTATACATATAATACATTATATATATGTAATTTATATATATATATCATTGTTATTGTTGTTGTTATTATTATTCGTAGTAGTAGTATTATTATTGTTATTGTTATTATTATATATATATATATGTGTGTGTAAATATATCATATAATGTAATATAATATGATATAATATAATATAATATAACATAATATAATATAGTATAATAGAATAATACAGTATAATATGATATAACATAATATAATATGATAGAGTAATATAATACAAAATAATTTAATATATATATATATGATAGTATGTATACAATATATATAGTATGTGTACAATATATATATATGCGAATCGGGGATTGCCTGTCCGATTATGTCCTGGTACTTGGGGTTGAAGTAAGTGCTTCGGTGACGACTTCACTCGGATGGCGGCTTCCGCATGGCAGTTCTTTGCTCTGGTGCTGCAGTGGGTCTTGAGCCAAAGAGGCCAGTTTGAAATACCCCTTTGGCATTGGATCCTAGAGTGTCGAATTATATGTGAATATACAATCGTACGTAGCCTACACTCTATTCGCACCCCCCACGCATAGCTAACTTTGTTGGCTACGCGCAACGGAGTGTCCTTTGAATTGATCCACTATATTTGCAGCTGTTCATTTATTGAATTATGGAGAGCTAAAGTCCGTTCAGAACTTTACATCTACATGGCGGCTTGCTACGATCTCTACCAAAAGATAAAAGGTTCTGTTCACGTGCACGTAGACACGACGTAGTCGGTGTCTAGCATTGAGGTTCATCCGATGTGGCGTAGCCAGCATGGAATCCCACTCAAGCATGTGAATTAAAGAAATCAAAAAACACAAAGTTGACTATGGAACTAGAAGTTTACCTTCCCGTTCCTTCGTCTGTTGAGATGTAGACCGCTGTAGAAACTCAGCGTCTCGTGCAATGGTGTTCAAAAAAATGTGTGGTTCTAAATTAGCCGGCTCAGAGTCCTCTCAGAAATCATTCGAAATGAAGTAGAGGTAAATCTCGAGCAATGATTGCATCCTCGCATCGCCAGGTTCAATCAGGACCTATGCAGAGGTCATATCGATTCATCATCTATATCCCCATCCATAGTATCCCTGTTGGTTCCAGTCGCCACCACGATGCGAATAAGATCTTCCACCTTTCCCTTTGTCTTTTCCACCTTTCTGTGGCGGGGTTACTGGAGCTTGTTTTGGCGGAGGAGCGGTTTCAACTGTTCTCCAAGTTGCTGACGATGATGCTTTCGCTTTTGACACTCTGCCCAGTGCTGTTGCTGCTTTCGGGGCTGCTTTCGATTTGCCAGCGGCTGGGTTAGCACGTTCACGATCAGCAGGAGTTGGGGTATCAGCAATCGCAAGTATGTGAGCGTCAGACATGTGGATGCCCCATCTTGGCCGTTGATCGTCCCGCTGCTTGATGTGGTTGTAGTCATCGATCGCATCATACAGCTTCTGGAGTAGAGGTCGTGGCAATTGTCGGCCATTTTGAAGGATCAGGTGTAAAAGTGATATTCTTCGAAGTGCGGGACGAAGAGCACACACAATGTCAACTGGGTTCAGTGTGATTGTGTCTTGAAAGTCGACGTTCCTGAAGAAATAAACAGCATTCACCCTGTATGCACCTGCAATGATTCTTCTGACCATGACGTCTTGTCGGTCAAGGGCGTCGCGGGCCGCTGTGGTCTTTCTCATCTCATCCATTGTTGTGTCACGTTTCGACAGCTTCTCCATCTCCTCTTCAAAGAAGATATTTTGTAAGTCATCATACGTGTAGCCACATTCAAGGGTATATATGAGAAGTCTTTTGAGTACCACTGCCCCATAGTATGCATTGACGAATCCCTCTTCTCCGATGTCGTCCTTTTGATTTGGTCGGCCGATCTCTTTGTAGAGCTCTTTCATCTGTTGTGCAGTTGGTTCAATGAGTTCACCATTCTCATCCTCGCCTAGGTAAGGCACTCTTGAGTCCAGGTCCATCCTGAATTTCTGGTTCTGTTGAAAGTGTTTCCATGCCGTCTCGATGTCTCCACAGAAGTTCCGTTGGAATAGTCTGTAGATCCTGACGATATGTAATCCGATCTGCAACAGGAGGATCTTGATGAGCTCCGGCTGAGCATCTCCAATTGTGCAAGGCTCGATTGGTAGGACCTTTAATCCAAACTCAATCCGCTTCATCCACTTGGGGTACTCAATCACTGCATCACGAGCTTCTCCAGCCTCATATTCTTCAATGTTGATTTCATCGACCGCTATCTCTTCATCGTCATTCTCGTCGGTCGGTTTTCCTTCTTGGTTGAGAAACTTGTCGACCTCATCTTGTTCTCTGAAGTCTCTTTTCTCATCATTGATGTCGCCCTTCTTCGAGGCTTGGTCATCATCTCCCTCTTCTGGTTGAGGTTCTTGTTCTGGACTCTTCATGTTGACGTCATCATCATCTGGCATCATCTCGTCATCATCACCATCACCTGTCAAATCGATCTTCACCTCCTCCCATGCTTTCTTGACATGGTCTTTGAGATCTTCTTCTCGATGATGTGATTCGGCGCTTGGTACTGTAGCCACGGTGATCTTGATTCGTTTCCTCCATCCATGACTCACCAAAAATCCTTTGCACATCACACAAATCGATAGTGGTGCAGGGGTCTCCATCAGACATGCGGGGCATAGTCGATGGTCCTCCTTGCTGGGATGATGAGTGACTGCTAACAATGATATTGCATCATTCCAATCCGGATGTCCAGGGAACAATCTGTGAGCATGACTGAAGTGACCGGTCTTGATATCGACAAGCTTTCGAAGTTCGTTCAGATCGGGTGATGATTCATCAGGCACAATGTTCCCAATGAGTTTGTCAAACCGTTCAATGGTGGCCACCCTCCTTCCTCCTTGTACAGAAAGCACGAGTTGATCTTTCCCCTTCGTGATCATAAGACGGTAGTAGTCCTTTTCCTTACAATCGTAGTACCAAACTGCATCGAATGATTCGAATGGAATTGTTTCTTGGACCAAAATGTGTCCGTCTGCTGACAATCGAGGGGAGAACTTGGCGATGGAATCGTACGTGATGTAGATGTAGACAAGATCAGTTTGTTCGATCTTCCTGAATCTCAGCACCGACTGACTTCGTACGTCCCACGGTGCGAATGGCACGAAGAACGTATTGATGCGGTCGCCTCCTCCTCCGGGACGTAGTCCTTCTCTGAAGATTTGAGCGATGTTGTCAAAAGTGGTGCAATGAAATCCTCCTCCAAGAGTGTATCCGACTCCAGGGTTCATCTGATAGGAAGTCTTCTTGTCTTCAATGTGCACACCGCCTTGAACTCTTGAATGCGCCATAGGGGCACGGATTGCCACCGGCCATAGCCAAATCTCTCGATCTGCTGTTCCGATTTCCAACCTCAGTGTGTGTCGTTCAAGTCTCGAGGTCAATTCGTCATTGAAGTTGTTCATGATGTGTTCCAACTCACCTTTCGTGACTTTGAGTCCTAGCACTTGAGCTCGGATCCTTTTCGTCTGCTTGTACTCAGTGAAGATCACTCTCTGGAAATTGTTCCACCTCTCAACAAGTATTGGGTAGTTGACGCGGGTCGTTCCAGCCAATGTATGTTGGTCTCTCCAAATGTTGTCGTACTTCAAGATCGACTCGACATTGACCCAACCTGCTTCATCGCATGGTAGTCCACGGTGATTTCGATTGTCTTTGACGCAACCCACGGAGTGGCGTAGCGCTGCATTGAATCTTTTCGACAATTCGACTATCCATTGCGGATTGTCCCACTTGTTGCCCATCCACTCATTCTCGCCATATCGATGTACCTTACACCAGCCCATTCCAAGATATTCTTCTCCATTGATGCGAGCAAGTTGAAGTGTACCAATGTTGTGGCCATGTGTGAATGGTTGGATGTACTTGAAATTCCAGTTGTCTCCACGTTGTTTCCTTTCTTCAGTAAGCCATTTCACATATGCATCATGATCTTTGGGGTTCCAAGCGTTCAGCTCTTCAATGGTCGGCAAAACAGGCGGGGATTCCTCAGCCGCACGTTCAATCAGCACATCAAGCTCGTGACGATTCTTCACACCTCGGCTAATTGGGTTGACTTCGACGCCATTCACTAAGTACTGTCCTCCTTCTTCACGATCACCAATGTCGTACATAAAGGCTGACTGACTGTAGAAGCATTTGGTCACTTCTTCTTTCTCAGTGAATCTGGTTCTTCCCCAACGTTTTCCTCTTGGCATGACGTTCTTCGGGAGCTTGTCTTTTCTGCCTCTTGTCGCGGCGTTGGATCTTTCCGAAGATGATGGGGATTTGGACTTCTGATCCATGATCAACCTCATGCGCCATAGGGTGTCCTTCATTTTCTCGTCATCTGGTGTGGTACATTCATCAATGTCATGCATTCCACCACAAATGAGACAATACTGGACACTCGATGCATCTGCAATCAGCTTCTCAAATCGATCACGGATGTCCCGCACCTCAGTTCGGCGCTTCTTCGCCTCCGAAGGTTGGCCCCCCATGTCATCTTCCTCCTCCTCAATCTCGATGTCACCGGCTCCGGCATCGGTTTCTCCTGAAGTCTGTTCTGTTCGAGGGCCCCGCGCCGTAGGCGTCGTGGTCTCGTCTTCAGGTTCGCCAACTTCATCCTCCTCCTCATCGCTTGAAGAGACCTCAATCATTTCAGGATGGTCGTCGTAGTTGGCTTCCGGGAGCACCGGCATTCTGGTGATCTTCTTCTGCATGAGTAGGTCGAAGATTCCCGCTTCTCTCAAGATTGTAATCACCATGTTGTTCTCGACCGGCGGAATGTATGCTTTCCTGGATCGGTTTCGCTTTGTGTTGATGGTGTCGGTAGGTCGACATGAACTGCTGAATAGCCAAAACGACTCTTCCAGTCCTGCGAGGCAACTGTCAAGGTTTGCCCCCCATCCAGC